GATTTCAACTTCCTCTCTGATGCTTCAATATAGCGTCTACAAGAACAGATGCCTTCTGGGTCACACCTTTGATTCTGGAGAGTTCCCCGGAAAAAGAGTTGAGCGCAAAATCGGAATTCGTGTGCCAATTTGGCTTTCCAGCCGGGGTGCCCTCTGACAAGGAATCATCCCGTCTGATGTCTGAGATTGTCTGAGGCCCAGGGCTTTGATCTTTGGCCATATTCGACGCATGCGGATCGAGTTTCGCGGGACGGAGACTGTGCAGGAGAGTTGTGGCTTGAAGATAGTGTTGTGGATTGGATTGGCCGCGTCTTCACCCGCAGACATGGCATGGTTCAGACCGAACAATGCATCACGCAGTTCAATGTCTGCCCCGGGCTCGCAGTCGTCCGGTTCAGGGAAGTTTGGGATCTTTCAAGCTCAGGCAGTCGACTTTTCGCATGTCAGCGATGCGGCGAGGATGCGGATTGCATCGTGTCCTTCGACGCGCTGTAGGAGTCCACCCTACGCCGGCGAATGGTCCTGAGCTGTTGCTGCAGTTTCTGCAAGCTTACGCTGGAGCTCCAGCCGGTCGGCCTGCAGGCTCGGACTTCGCCCGTCGCTTTGAGTGTGATCCTGGCGGAACTGAGCACGGCCCCGAAAGGACTTTCAGAGACGCAGTCCTTGTGTTGCTTCGGGGTTCCCTGCTGCCCGTCTGAGTGCCTCGTGCCAGCACAGGACTTCCGAGATCTTCCGAGCTCCGGGCGTCATTTCTACAAGCAACATCTCTTCTCGAGCTATCTGGTGTGCTTCTGGGCCCCAATGCTCGCAAAGGCCAGGCCCCGGTTCTCGACCTGGTAGAAGTCGACCAAGCGCCTTGCAGCTTTCTTCAGCAGAATTTTGTGAATGCCCTATCCTTTCTGAGATCACAGGAATTGAAGCACGCGTGTGGTCTTTTTTCCAAGGCCAGTGCTGATTCGGTCGGACCACTGCTGTGATCGATCGCTTCCTCCGCCAAACACAAGCGGCTGTAGAATGCGGGGCAGGCGGGGCCACGTGCCATGGATTGTGTCACCTTCCACGGGTCCTCGACCGATTGTGTGGAATGGCAGGGCAGTCATCCTCCTTGCCGGCCGTTGCGACTCCCAGACTGTAACTTGATGAAGCACTGCCCTGCCATCGTCGCAACGAGCGGCTTGCACATCCGTACTACACTTCACCCATACAAGCACAAAGCTAGACGAAGATCAGATTGAGTTGGTCCTGGTTCGGTAAAAAGGCATGAACCCCCCTCCACAGGTTGTATACGAACCCAGATTCCCAGCAACCTGCAACAAATCTAGTTGGCTAGAGTAGTAGGCGTCTTTGACTCCTGCTCGGCCTCCTTGGATCCCTTCCGATTTCCTGGCTCCTGGCGTGGCTTCAGGGCAGCTTAGGGCTTGTGTTCGCAGTGTCGGCTGCGTGAGTTTCTCTTCGCGTTGTTCGGGCCTCGCGGTTCAAGAATTTCAAGTCTTGGAGCTCCGAGGCTTTGTTTGGTTCCAAAACCGAGCAGTCCAGATTAACACCTCCGAGGCTTGGTACGCAGGGTGGCAGACCGCCAAACCGCCAAACCAAAGGCACAAAGTACACTCCACCCATGAACTTGAACCCATCGTGAAGTCCCTATACGGTGCAAGCAGCCAAAGCCTTCTCTTTCGGAGCTTGGGCATACTTGGCTTGGGCACTGGCGCCGCAGCCCATGGCAGATACCAGTAGGGTCTTAGGGCTTCTTGGGGGGGGGGGGNNGGGGGGGGGGGGGGGGGGCTCGGTTTCTATAAGCAAGGGCACCGAGTGGTGTGCAAACGTGCGAGAGGTCGGTTAGAACAGGGTGTAGCTCTCCAACTCGCCAATGCGAGTGTTTACCTGCTCATAGTGCTAAACGCTCGATCATCAGCGATAGCTGGAAACCGCAACGCATGTCGACGGGATTCATGACCACGCAAGGCCTGGTTTCGGAGGCACCTCGACCCTCACATCTCTCAGCTGAAACGCTTGAAACTCTCCGAAGCTGTGAACCGCCAAACCCATTATTTCCTCATCTCCCAAAGCCTGGCACTGGGGCGAAAGCCTTCACTTCGTAGCCCCCGCAAACCTCAACTCCAACGAGCTGCATAGGGCTTCAGTTGCTTTCAGTTGAGTTTCGACGGTTTCAGCTGTCATCAGCTCAGACCAGATCGTGGAGGCATCGGTGTTTAGTTCTTCAACTGCCACTGTATGCATCGGACTTGTGTGCGCACAGGCTTTCCTTCTACCGGGAAAGAGCTGAAGACAAAGGCTGGCCTGTGATACTGTAAGGCATGTCAGAACATGCTTCCGGACCCCGAGCCCGGTGTGTTTGGGTTGTGTTTCTGAGCCAACAGCTCGCGAGAACAACGCCACCCTGGCCAAGCCTGCGTGTAGTCTTCCGAGCGAACAGTGCCCACCCACAAGGGCCTCTTCAGTTTTTGCTATCACCTCGTGTACCCTGTCACTTATCCATGCGTCAACCTCACGACTTCTTGCCTCTTGCCGCGCTGTCAGGAGTTTTGTCACACCTTGGCTGTGTGACCACTCAGGTTGGCAAGAATGTGCAGCCCAATCAGCACGAAGTCGTGTGAGCTGCCGTGCAGAAGTTGGGACACATCTCCCAAACACGCATCGGGCCCATGACGATAATGCACATTGAATTGAATCCTTTCCAACTCATCGTGCATGTCGCTGTCTTAATTCAGGCAACGTCATGCCCCCGCACTGTCCCTCATCCAAAGCCCCGGTTTAAAAGCCCTTCGGCAGACCACCCTCAAGATGCAGTGCTGACTCTCCAGTCGATCACTGGGCTGTCGACAGCCAGGTAGTAGTGACCGTCTCGGAGTACCCCAAGCCTGGTCAGGATGTGGGTTCGGGGCTGAAGGTCTTCCTTTCCTCTCGGCTGCTCATGGTGCCGAGCAACGCACTCGACTGGTCTACGGTTGCCTGTGCTTTCTGGGGTGAGCACGTGCTTCGCGCTCGCAGTCGGGGATACGAGATCGGACAGAATGCCTCTTCTGACGGAGGCCTTTCCCTAAACTCGATCCCGTCCCCTCAACACACTTAGACACTTAGATTCTTAGGTTCTTAGACCTTCACTGAATGAACGCAGCATGACATTTTGAGCAGACCTGCCCGAAGGATGGACACCGGCATGACCTCGGTGAAAACGATTCCCGGGCACAATATGGAGCACAGGTGCATGCTACAATCCTCAAACGGTGAGACAACCTTGAGGCCCTGCCGCTCTTCGTTTGCACCGAAGGTGGAAAGCCCAAGTTGCCAGCCCTGTCCGGCTGCGATGCCGACGGCCGTGAGGATGTCGGGACCATCACATCGCCTGAGCAGGAAGCTGTCTGTAGTGGCTCCTGTCAGATGTATGATCTTCGTTCGGGCCGGAAAGTGCTCATCAGAGTTGGTTTACGCATTCGCTACGCGCTCGCGGAATCCTCCATCCAACTACTTCTGCTATTCGCTACGCAGCAGAAGTCTGGATAAGTCTGGATTTAATCAAACTTACCAGGAGGCCAGCCGACCTGGGTAAGAGGTGTGCTAGCGTTGGCATCGGTTCTAAATTGCAGGCACATCCAGGTCACCACACTGTATACCTTGAGATCTCACAGAGAGCTTCGTGGGGCAAAGCTCTGTAAGTGTCCACTGCCCCCCTCCACAGGGTACACGACAACTGCATGAGATTGCCTGTCGTCACAAGAGTTCACACACACACACACACACACACGCACACGCGCGCACACACACACACACCCACACACACACACACACGCACACACACGCACGCACACGCACACGCACACGCACACGCACACGCACACGCACACGCACACGCACACGCACACGCACACGCACACGCACACGCACACACACACACACGACACACACACACACACGACAC